CAAGCTCCTACAGCATACATAGGGCCCACACATGCAAATACACAAGATTTTTATGGTTATAAAATGTAGCTTCATCTCAGAAGTTTTCTCATATTTGGGAAAAGACGAATTATTCAATACCTGACATGAAGTCAACTGTATTTCTGCTTGAAAAATAAAACTGTACCTCCATCTGACTCCTTTCACCAAAATAAACTGCATATAGTACCCCCCAAAAAACCTTTGTAATAGAACTGAGTGCTGTTTTTAAAAATCCACAAACACTAATACACATATGAACGTACCTGTGTGTTCGTGCTTAACCCCAGTAAGTAGAAAAAAGAGAATATGGATGAATGTTTTTCAATATCCTGGAATGTGAAAGACCTTTCTAAGCTTGACATAAATCTAGAAGTCACAAAGGAAAATACAATAAACTTGACCATGTAAAAACTTTATAAACTTCTCCATGGAAAAAAAGAAGAGAGAGAAAAAAAAGACCAAAATCAGCTGAAAAAAAAGTAGTAAACTACACAAAAATATCTCTAACATATAAAACAAAGGGCCAATTTTCTTAATATTGGAAAGCTTTTAAATCAGAAAAAGACAAATAACCTAATAGAAAAAATGGCAAAGGTGACAAATAGTTAACAGAAATTAAACACAAATGACCAAACTACAGGTGAAAAGATGCTCAGGCTCATTTAGAATGGAAGAAATACAAAATAAAACAAGAATTCATCTTTTTCACCTATCAAATTGACATTAACTAAAAAGTTTACTAATGTCCAGAGTTGGTGAAGGTAGAAAGAAATGGACATTCTCAAACATTGTTGGTGGGAGTGTAAACTGGTTCTACCTTTTTAAAAGCAACATGGTAATAGCTATTAATATGTAAAATATGGGTACTCTTTGTCTCAGTAGTTCCAACTCCGAGGAATTTATTCTACAAATATATTTCCACAATGTGGAATGATACAAGACAATGCTGCTGACTGCAGCATTTTTTCTAACATGAAAACAGTGGTAACGAACTTAAAACTGGTCATTCAATAGGTAAAATAAATTAAGCCATAGTCATAAAATTAAGTATAATGTAGTCATCCTAATGCAGAAAAGGGGCCCAATATATGCTACTAAGTGCAGGCAGGGGAAACTAGTTCCAGTAGAGTATATAATATATACAGAGAAAACTTATGTAAAGATACAGAAGAAACTGTTAACTAGTGACTTAGGTAAATGGGGACTTTTACATCTTGCTTTATTCTATGCTGTTAGAATGTTTTTTAAAGATCATCTATAACTTCTTAATTAAAAAGAAATCAAACACTAACTATTAAAAAGTACTTCCCTTTGTGCTCTCGTAAGGAAGAAGAAAACCAGGAAGGAGTATGAAGAAAAAGAGGTTTAGGACCATCAGTCCAAGAGGTGAATTCAGCTCAAATGGGCCTCCCTCCCCTCCTCCAGCCCAGCTCCCCTCAGAAACATCATCCCCGGGGACAGAAGTGAGAAAGAATACAGCCACTTCTGAACCTCGGTCCCTCAGGACACAGGGCCCAGTCAAGTGTGGGAATTTGAATTTGGAGCAAATTACTTACTTGGCTTTAGGTCACATGCATTTTACAATTTTCATTTGAATACAGATATAAAACATTCCATTTTATTCAATGAGAGTATTTCTACAAGGCACTAAGCTGAGTACTAAGATGAGAGAAAGAGTGAAATAAAACATGGTCCCTGTCACCGAGTCATTCAAAATCTAGTGAGGAAAGGGAAGGACATACAATCAACCAGAAGGCAGGCCCAAAAGGTAACCTGCTCCCATAAAGGTATACAGAGAAATTAACCACATCTGGGAAGCCGGAGATTTAACCAAAGAGATGGCATTTCTCAGAGCTGAAGAATCTGTAACATTACCTGACTTTTCCCCTCTTTTCCACTTACTCAAATCCTTTTCTCTACATTTATCTAAAGCAGGTCAATCTGCTGATGCCTGCCCTTTCTCATTGCTACATTCATATCACTAAATACAACAGCATCTCTTTTGTATAAAAAATAAATTGGTGCTGGGTTTACTTATCAGTAATAAATATATTACCATATATATATCTTTGATTAAAGTTTTATGTATTCAAGAGTTGTTCTATCGCACCCACAAACCACTGAATCAGCTCAAAAATATCAGTAAATTAACTTGCAAACTACATCTTTCCAACTGTTTCTTATACATAGATTTTCATTTATTAGTTCAGATCTTTAGTTCAGAAAATAATGTCACCTTAGAGCAATCATGAAAAAAGCCAGCCTAGGTCTTGATGTCTATAATGGAAAGTACTTGATAATCTAAGCACAAAAAACTCATTATTTTGCCTGTATTTTTGTTTCTGTTTTTTTTTTCACCTAAAACTGGTCCAGATGCACATGGGTATAGAGCTGCTGCCATGATGAGGGGAAAAGAGAACGAGATGTCTAAGCACTTAAACTTAAAAATTTAAGTGTTCTTCTGTTAGAGCCAGGTATACTTTTCAGTATTAAATTGAATACTATAAATATTTGTTTGATCAAAGTTAAATTTCTCAAGAGTTGTTCCATCATACCCATAAACCATAAACCACACACTAACACAGGCTTTCGGCATGCTTATTTATAAAGAGTGAAAGTTTTACACTCAGAAAGAACTTTGTTTGAATCGGGGCTCTACCACTTCCTAGCTGATCAACTTTGGCAAACATTTCAAGTCTCAGAGCTTCAGTTTCTTCACAGGTATAATTTTCCTACCTTTCCTCTTGCAAAGATTAGCAACAATCTAAGTAAATCATGTAGTACATTGCCTGGCACAGAACAGGCCATCAATAAATGATAGCTAAAGTAATCAGTATTATTACTATGAACCTAACTCCTGAAGCCTGTGGGGCACAGGTACATTGAGCAAGAAGTAGGAAGTAGAAAGTTTCTTTTCTGCTGCACTTAAGAGCATCAGAATACATGATTTCAAGAATTATGACAACTCTCAAAATAAGTCTCAGCAGTGGTTGAGACTGTACATATATGCTCTTGAGTCTACTCCAGAAATTCCACATTATCACTTACTAGCTGTAAGACTCTGAGCAGGTTGCTTAGAGATGTCCTTTCCTCAGCTAAAACACAGCTAATAACAGTCTGTCAAAGTACGTTGTGGCAATCTTGTGAAGGTTAAATTAAATGAGATAATCCATGGAATGCTCTTAGCACAGCATCTAGCAACAGTAAGTACTCCAAATGTTAACTATCAGACTACCCATGAAGTCCCTGCCTATGGAGTTACTGCAAGGGGTTACTGCAAGGGGTCTAAAGAGCTTGCAACACTAATATGTATTTCAGATATATGTACTATTTTTCAATTGTAAATAGAGTCCAGTGTGGCTAATAAAACAGTAATTATTTTAAGAGTTCTATTCAAGTAGCTTTTAAAAATGTAATAATTGTTGAAAAATATTCAAACAATAGAGAAATATATAAAGTGAAAAGTGTGTTCATTCGACCTAGCTAGTTTAGCGCAGTTAGAGTGTCTTCTTGCTCAATGAAGAGTACCAGGTTCGATTCAGGCCAACGGCACATACCTCGGTTGCAGGTTCCATCCCCAGCCTGGGTAGGGGTGCATGCAGGAGGCAACCAATCGATGAGTTTCTCTCACATTGATGTATGTCTCCCCCTCTCTCTCTCTCTCTCTCTTCCTCTCTCCCTCCTTTCCACTCTCTTGGAAAAGCAATGGAAAAAATATCCTCCAGTGAGGATTAAAAAAAAAAAAGTGTGCTCATTCAGTCAATCCTTCCCCCACTCCAACTCCTAGGTAGCCTTTCCAGGGGAAACCACTGGAAAGCACTGCAGTGGAAAACTTCAGATCCACTTTTTCACAAAATAGGATCATACCATATATTTTATTTGTTTATTCAATAATATATCATGATATCTTTCCATGTCAATGCATAAATCCTAACTCATTCTTTAGAGCGACTGCTTAATGATTCAGATGATGGATAAATAATTTATTAATCTATTATTTTAGGCATTTGGCTTACTTTTAAATTTTTTGCTCTTAAAAATAATTCCACAATGAACACTTTGTTTGAAGGGCACTCGATGCATGTTTAGGCTTTTCTGTTGGGCAGCTTCCTAAAGTGAATCTGCTGACTCAAAGGTTTTACACATTTTATATTTTGGTAAGTACTGCCAAATTGTCCCCCAAAGAGAACATAAATAAAACAGGACAATGTACTCTCTGTCATTAACCATCTGCTTAAAACACAAGAACAAAAAGTATACTATCGTGCGGAGAAACCATACATTTTTCCATACGGAAAGTGGCCCTCATCTTTAAAAAAAGATGGGAACTACAGTTACAAAGCCATTACCCTTCTCAACACCAGAGCTACTGACTAAACTCTCACCTCAACATTATTCAAACCCTGATCTCTCTTGCAATGGCCTGGCTCAGATCAAAACCAGTTTTCTAGTACCCTGCCCCTGCTTCTGGTCCCTAAGCCAACTGGTTTAGTGCGGAGGGTGGTGGGGGAAAGGATTCAAGACCTGAAATGTTGCTGCCATCGGCTAGCAGCCTTGCCGAGCCCCACTAAAACACAATTACTCCATTCAATGTTCACTTAAAAGCTCTACTCTGTTGCTGTTATAAAGCAGCAATGGATTAAAACCTCTTAATCAATAATCATTGGCCTACAGGTAGTTTACAGGTTTCATTTTACACCACAATATTATTACAGTGAGGAGCAAGAGCAGATAAAGGTCATGTTGGTAATTAAAGCTATATTATAAAAATATGCACATCCAAGATATGATTAAATAAGAAAATATTACTCAGTTAAGTATCATCATTAAACTTGCATTAATTTATAAATATTTAAATATACCATATGATGATCATAAATAATCTGTTTTTGTCAGTTTCTAAAGTAATGCAACCCATAAACCCTTTGAAAAATTACTGCAGAAGGAAACAGTCAAGAAAGTATACAAGCCAGACTTACATTCAAATGCTGTGGTTGTTGCTTCAGGCAGAACCTGGCCTATCACATCCTAAACAAAGAAAGAATAAAGAAACACAATTAGCCATCTTCTTTATTGCTAACATGTGGCAAATCCTTGAGGAAATATGAGAACCTGGAAAAGATTTTTGAAATGTGGGCATAAACTATAAAAACATTAGCTCATAATCACACTTAGCACAGCAATATAAGTGCAGAGTTTAAATCTCTATACAGGGTGCAGGGGTGGGAGCTGGGGGGGTGGTGGAATCTTTACAAAATTTTTTCTACTTTGTATTAATAACATAATCTTTCACTCTCAATTCAACAGTATATATAAATACACTATTGCGTATTTACAATAAATTTTGTTTCTTCTATGGGAGGTTGTGGAAGGTACTACAGTAGAGAGTAGGGGGTTTGGGGAGTCAGACTGGCCTGGGTTGGAATCTCAGCTCTGCATTTCCTAGCAGTGTGATTAGGAACAAAGTACTTAACCTCTTTGAGCCTCGATTTGGTTATCCTCCAATATGGGTCTAGTAATATTTATAGAGGTAATGTAAAAATTAAATTAAAAATACAATAAATATAAGCTGGTCTAACACATTGTAGACATTCAACAAACGTAATCCCTGATATGTAAATAGCAACATTGTGCCTTGCATGCATAGTGGGAAAAGCTGGAAAAACAAGTTTCCATGATGATAAAACCTAAAAAGCTACACTTAATACAAACAATTCTTATCAACCATTACTCTTAAGCAACTGAAAAAAAAAAATTTAATGACACTAAAATACAGTTGATCTAGCCTACAAAAACTATGTACTTCTTAAACTATATATAATCTAATATCAATGTTTAAGTGAATCTATGAAGTTGAAAACACTTGAAAATCAGTCTACAAAGACAGCTTAAAGAGGCATAGAACACCATCAAGAAATAGTTCTGGGAAAAAGTAACCCTCCATTATGTGCAGTCCAACCCAAGTGGCCTGCAAACCTCATTGCTCTCTGGTAGCTCTGCCACTATGTCCCTATTGGGCTGTGCCAGAACTGGCACCAGGTAGGTGGCTCACAAGACTCCTGGAAGTATTTCTCAGCAGGGAGCCCACAACCCCTCCAAGCAGGGCACTTAGCAGAATGGTGGCTGCAACTTCCTTCTAAAGGCAGTTCTTTAGAAGCGTCTGCTGCAGTGGCAATTTACATAATAGCCTTGCCTCTACAGTGCCTTCCCCCCCTCAAAAATAAATCTGCATATAAAATTGATCAAAGAGAACTCTTAGGCAGCCCTCACTCATTAGAGCCAAAGGGGATTACTATTATTATTATTATTATTTTTTAAAATATATCTTTATTGATTTCAGAGAGAGGAAAGGAGAGGGGGAGAGAGAGATAGAAACATCAATGATGAGAGAGTCATTGATTGGCTGCATCCTGCACGCCCCCAACTGGGGATCAAGCCCGCAACCCGGGCATGTGCCCTGACCGGGAATCGAACCCTGATCGACTGGATCCTAGGTCGAAGCTCAACACCGCTGAGCCACGCCCAGCCGGGCAAAAGGGGATTATTTTTCCCTCTAACTCAGGAAGTGAAATATCAACTTTTAGAGGAATTATTTGTCAAAGATTTTAGTGTTAAAAAAATTCTTAACTCTGGCAGGAAAGTTTAGTGGGTTAGAGAGTCCTCCCCATGTGCCAAGGCTTCGGGTTTGATCCCTAGTCAGGGCACATACAAGAATCAACCAATGAATGCATAAATAAGTGGAACAACAAATCCATGTTTCTCTCTCTCTCCTTTTCTCTCTCTCTCTAAAAATCAACCAATAAATAAAAAAATTAGCCCTGTCCGGTGTGGTTCAGTTGTTGAACATCGTCCCCTGCACGGAGAAGTCACTGGGCACATGTCTGGCTTGTGGGCTCAATCCCCACTGGGAGGTGTGCAGGAGGCAGCCAATGGATGTTTTTATCTCTCATCGATGTTTCTCTCTCCCTTCCGATCTCTCTAAAATCAATAAAAACATGTTTAAAAATTTTTTTCTTAATTCCTTCGACACACTTGTAGGTAGAAAGTATTTACTGACAGGTAAATGGCAATGGTAGAGTGAGTATGAAATAAACTATACAGGCAGCCAGTATAAAGCCTGAGAGTGTGGACTGGAGCCAAACTGCTAGGGTTGGACCTTGGCTCTGCCACTCACTAGCTAAGTGACTAAGCCTCAGTTTCCTTCTGTGTAAAATAAGATCACAATTATAACAATCTTGTAGAACTAAATGAGTTAATATTTGTAAAGTGCTTAGAAGAGTGTCTAGCACATGCCCATATTAGTGTCTGTTAAATAAATAAAACAAGTCACTGATGACTGGAACATTACAAAGCTTATCTCATAAAGAAACTTTAAATTTTAGCACCCAACAATAAGTGGAGGATGGTCATTTGTTCACTTATGTCAGCCTTCCACAGTACTCAAATGACCTTTTCTAGCCAGTATGTAAAAAACAAACAAAACAGAGGAGTCTACTCCCAACACTCCAAGTCTAGATTATCACTGGAACTCCGATCATTCAGACAACCAATCTTGAGATATGAACTCTACGGTATTAGCAAACTCATTTAGGACATTTCCTACTTATGAAGAGCAGACCCCATCAAACAGCAAATCCTGAATAACTAGCTAAAGACCCCGCTGGGCTGCAATGGCATCCTTTGCCCATCAACATAAACAAGAAACCACATGTACTTTACATCTAATGTGGGGAAAAGGAGAAAGAAAAAGCCAAACTGCTTGAGAGAATCATCTTGTTTTGTTAAAATAATTAAAGGGGGGCTATCATAATAACCAAAGGGGAAAAAGTCTAAAAATTAGTCAATATCTACTGGTGGTCTCTAAGCAGGGCACATTTACTAATTGTATTCATATTTTCCAGTTATATTTTAAGTGATTTATTTCAAAGTAACCCAGGCTTCTTTTCAACATGACATTTACCTAACCTAAAGGTTTCAAAGAAAACTTAAGTTTAAATATCTTGATAGTGAACATTTCTTCATTCTTTCCCTCTCCTTCCTTTCATTAAATCAGTCAAAAATCTGACAGCCAAAAGTATAAATGAGCATCTACAATGTACCTGGGGCAATAAAGAACACAAAGCTGTAGGCAACAAAAAAATAAGACTTAGGAAGATTATAATCTGGTCACAGAGATAAAGACAAACCTAGAAGATTAACAGTACTTAGAGTATAGTAAGAGCCAAACAAAAAAACCCGTAAGTGCCATGTAGTGTATGTTAACTCAAGAGGAATGAAAATCAGACTCGTATAAAGAGGAACTTCAGAGAGGAAATCTGAACTGGGACTTGGGAGACAGGGTTCAAACAACAAGAGGAAAGAGGTAACATGCTCTCCTACCACTCACTACTTCAGGAGATTCCGATCTCCTACACAATTTTCCCCAAACTGTGCATTATGTTTCCAAGGAAGAAGAGAAACACACAAAGCTGAAAAACAGATAACCCAAATGTCCCTGCCCTTGAGCACCAACTCAGTCTACTTCACATTGCAGCCAGTTCCTAATTAATTCAAAGAGCACAGATCCAAAGTGGCCAAGTGACTTGCCCAGGCTCTCCCAGCTATTTGACGGAGCTGTGATTGGAGCTCTCAGTCCCAACACTGACTCCTGTTCCAAAACACTCTCAGTTACAGTTGACTCAGTGACTGCAAACTTTTTCTGGCTTCTGTGTCTGGTTTTGCCCAAAATTAGCTGTGTGACTTTAGCATTTCCCACTCTAGGGTTCCTTTGAAAACTGGAGTGAGGAGGGTTGTATTAGATGAAGGGGATGCTTTCAGTTTTCACTTGGCTTTAATTTTTAAAATTCCAAGACAGAGCTGCTGATGTATCTGTTGGTATTTGGCCAATTTTTTGATGAACAGATAAGGTGAACCTGGAGAAGAGATCACAGGAGTGCTCCAGGATCTGGGCTTCCAGTTCAAACAACTTTAAAAAGCCCTAGGAGACAGGGCAGCACCCATTGCTACAGCCCTTCATCAGGACTTCCTGACAAAACATGCTGCACCTGTGCTTACCTGAGCAAGCACGTGTGAGGACACATGGCACTCTGTGCTCTAGATGGTAGGACCTTCTGTGCAAAGTTTACTTGGAGGCAGTCAGCCTTGAGCCAAAGTTCAACTGAAAGATGTATGAGAAGCAGAAGACCCAGACCTGATCCCTTATGTCATAACACCATCACTATAGAGCACTTACAATGTTCCAGGTTGTTCTACATGCTTTACATGTATCAACTCCAGTAGTCCTCCCAATTGTGACGTAAACACTATTTTTACCCCTCTAATCCTTTTTTTTTTTTAACTAACAGATGAAGAAACAGACATAGAAGACACTTGCCCAAGTGAGCCTGGTGGAGCATACAATTTAAACCCAGGAAGTCAGGCTCTAGAATTTGTTTTTAGACATTGTGCCATTCTACTTAATACCTTCTGATGTCTCCAATAAGTGAAAGAGAGCTCATGCTTCTCTCATCATAGACCCAATTTCATGTAATCTTCACAATTTTCCCTATTTTACAGGTAAGGAAACTGAGGATCAGAAAGGTACAGTGACTTGCCTAGTTGGGACTGCCTGTCATTAAACCCAAATTTTCTTATTCAAAAGTTAGTGTGCTGCCCACAAAACCATAATTGCATGCATCCTTTTTGAGGAACAGTTCAGGGTCCTACAAAGCACCAGAAATAGTGTATGATCATCTCCTCCAGAAGTTTACTATCTAGTGGAGGAGACAGACAAAATTATGACACAACCTATGTGCTTTGCCCAAACAAAGCTGTGGGAACACAGAGGAGAGGCAAGTAACCAAGACTAATGTGGAAGAAAAGTGAAGCTGGGCCTTGAAGGACAGGTGAGAGTTAGCCAGCTGAAGAAGAAATGAGTGGGCATCTGGGAGAACTCAAGGTTAATTCTAAATGCCTGGAGCACAAGACACTCATTGGACTGTGGTGAGAAATGAAGCTCGTGCCAGGTAAGCATGAGTCAATCAAGATGGGCCCAGAGGACCATATTAAGGAGTTTGGACCTTAGCAGGAGGGGAAATCTATGTGCATGTGAGTGTGTGAACTCTGGATGCAAAGAGAAAGATGTCACTTGGGTGTACAAGAGTGGACTCTAGCCTCTGCACTCCTGGCCCAGACACCTGAAAATCTGTATGGTCTGGGTGGTCAGTAACATCCAGAACTCAAAACAAAGGTACAGGAAGCAAATTTTGATTCGGTAACCTATGACAACCAAAAACAGCATCACAGATCTTCCTCCTGCCAAGAACCTCCACCAAGCCCTATCTTATCTTGCAGGTAAGTTCCGCTAAAGATCTGGTACTTGCAATGTGCTTCTTGGTATGTCAGCTCTACCTTTGATGCCTCAGTTATTCAATAAAATGGGCACAATACACTGTCCACCTCAAAATGAACTCTAAAATATGAGAAGGGCACTACAGTATGTGGAAATAAATACTAAGTAAAAGTAAGGAAGTCTGAGCTCTGGCACTGACTCCCCAACGCACAAGCAACTGGGCTTTGGAAAAGTCATTTCACCTCACTGCTCCTCAGTAACTGCAAAAATGCCATGATTTTATTTCAAACACATTCCGAGTATTTACTCTGAAACAAGAATACAAACCTGATTCTAAAATGCACATATCCCGCATGATAGATTACAGCTGCCTTGTTTCCCTTTCCTGCTGGCCACCAAGTCCAGGGAACTCAGTGGAAAAACATGGCTGGAATCTGGCCAAGGACATTCCAAGAAACACTTGCGAAAACTCTCTTCTAGCCTCAGCTTTTTGTATCCCAGTTGGTCGCTTCTGTGCCTATATCCCACTCTAGGCTGTGAGCTCCTTGAGGGCAGGGGTTCAATCTGATCATCTCTGTCTCCCCAGGGTCCTGATCATTTGCCAGGTTTCAAGCCACACAACTCATCAGTGCTTGGGGTGAAGCAGTAAAACTGCCCCGTAGAAGGCCAGGGCACGGGAGCAGGACTCGGTGGCAGCCGCGGACCACTCGGAAGCCCCGCGCCACCCCTCGCTGGGGCTCGCGCGCCGAGATGAACACTCACCAGCACATCCCTGAAGAGCAGCTGCGGGCCGGAGTTCACCGTCCAGTCCACGGCGCCCCTATTTGGAATCTTGATGCGAATCACCAGCACCTGGTTCTCCATGGCAGGCAAGGGGCCAAAGGCCAGCCACAGCATTACAGTGAAAGGGGCTCACATCCCGCGGTGGGGCGTATCCATGGCCCCTGGTTAGGCGGGGGCTGCAAGGGGTGCCAGGGGCCCGAGGGGAAGAGGACGGAGGGTGAGGGGTATCAGAGCGGAGGGCCGGTCGGGAAGGGCCCCCGGCCCCGCAGGCAGCGACCCAGGCCCAGGCTGAGTGGGGCTGAGGGGTGTCTCCCTGCGAGCGTGGACGGGGGAAAGGGCAGAGACCCGTAGGAACTGGCGGAGGAGGTCAGAAGGCTCCCTAAGAGTTGGAAAAGAGGGCAAAACAAGACCGTGCAGCTCTCGGCTGTCTCTGTGGGCGTGAGGAGACGGCAGAATGCAGCCCCCTTTTCAGGGGAATGCAGCGGCAGGGTCCGCGCCTCCTCGGAGGGCGAGGGGGAGGGTCCCGGATGGGAAGGGACTCAGCCCAGGGCTGTCAGGAAGCCCCGGGGCCGCCAGACTACGAGAGAGCCGAGGGGGGAGGCAGGGCCCTCCCTGGGAGGGGTGGGGGCGAGTGCTCTGCCC